GATTTTTTTGACAAAATATTACAAGCTGGAGAGTGTTGTGAGATAAATGAGGGAGATTATTTTCAGTCCTGGAAAGAGATTCAGTGGTTGGTTTCTGTCCTTCTCCTCTTCCTCCTCCCTTTAGCACCTTACATTTCTTTTGTGTACTGAACCTTTACATGCTTCTCTTTGCGCTCAGTAAATTTTCATGACTTGTAATGTGCGGCCAGGCTGGCAATTCAAGCAGTTATTGATTCAGAGTAATAAACTATCTCTCATAAAAGCAGATGCAGGTAATTGATGGCCCCATGTTGCCTGAGCTGGACAGGATACAGTAGTGTTTAGCTCAGCTGTCATGCAGTGGGACGATGGACTGCTACATTTTGCTCTCTGATTCAGCCTTTTTCATGCAGTACAACCACAGATGCAGTCATACATGAATCCTTCACTTAGTTTATGGCTTTTCCTCATAGGCAGCTGCCTGCTGCAGCGCAGAAAGCCCATCTCTGTTGCAATTTAGAGTGCAATCAATACAGGAATCACTTCATACAAAACCTCGCTACTAGTCTTAAAGTATTAAAAATTACTATTAGCTGGAGAAGCCAGGTTTGAATCAATGCTATACATTTGACAGTAGTGTGAAAAGACAGATCCCTCCACTGTATGAAGCAGATATATCAAGAGCTGCTTTATTTAATAAGAAAAACACACTGCTGCACTCAGCATGACTGATGGTCCCACTTACTCTTCCATATCAGTGCTGATATTTACATACTTTCATTTCCCTGCTGAAGTTAGGTTTGATATGCAATGCATCATCTTCAGCAACGACCAAGAGGTATAGCATTTCAAACACAGCAGATTCTAAACAGCCGATGGGTTTTTAGCAGTATGCCTGCAGGGTTAGCTTTAATAGTTAGTCACCCACTGCTTTGGTCAAGAGCAGACTGATATATAAGAGTTTTACCACTCCTATTAAATCATGGCCAACTCAGCACTATGCAAAAAAAAATAAAATAATAAAATAATAATTTATATATATATATATATATATATATATATATATATATATATATATATATATATATATATATATATATATATATATATATATATATATATATATTTTTTTTTTGGGGGGGGGGCTTTTTCTTTGCATTTTTCTCATGCACCTACAAAATTTGCAGGAAATATACCCTGTTTAATGCAAAGTCCTCTCCTTCAACTACTGACATGAAATAATGTCCTTCAAGCCAAGTTTGTTTACATATAAGGTACAGTAATTATTCTAGAAGCAGAATGCAATATTTGTGTGAAATCTGTTTTTATGACAGAGCCATTTTGGACAGATTTGGACCTGCTCTTTAGTTACTTACATGTTTGTAACACAAGTCTTCTCTTCTGTTTTATAGGAAGTTCATCCTAGCTTCCTATCAGTCACAAGCAATACTTCAAACTGTGTATTGAGTTTCACACAGCAGATGGGGATGTCTTTGTGTTGCTAAGCCATCAGACTTAAGTTTACCTGCACTTGTGGTAGTTTAACAGTCTAAAACTCTGCCACTTTATAACTACAACCTCATCTGAAAAATCAAAGCTCCTGTAGTCGCTTGTCTTTCACAGTGTTTATACGCACTACCCTCTTAATTCATCTAACTAGAATTAATCACCTAAAATAACACTCATGAATATATATATATTTAAAATCCTAGTTATTTAGATTATAAGAACACACAAACTTCATTTTACAATCAACATCAACGCACAAAATTAAAACCCTCAAAAAACAGCAATTTGGCTTCAAGTACATTGTTTGGAGATGGTGAGCAGGATCGACTTCAGGATGCTAGCTTCATCACTGATTATTTCACTCTGATTCCCCCTCACACTGCTGCTCAATTTGGTTTTGACAGTTTTCTTGATGAAGATATGCAATATCAAAACCCGGACTTATGTCAGACTTGTGCTGCAAAAAAAACTTTAATGGTCTACTGCAGACAGAGGAACCAAAAGTGAGGCAGCACCAGGCCTCACTGCACTTTCTTTGACCTATAAATTCATCCAGTCGGCAAAAAATGTAAAGATGGAGCCAATATTTGAATGCCTCAGTTGAAGGGTAACATTTTTATCAATTGTACAAACGGTTTAATAAAACTGACTGGAGTTATTTTACGATTCAATTTTGAATGTAAAATATGTGCAAAGCTTGTTGTTACTAAATTGTTCTCTTGACTTTAAGTGACAGATAGTAAGTAGACTGCAGATCTGAACAAATTTTAACATGAAAAATATACAAAGGAGCTAGCTAATTCACTCACAGATCACTGTTATGACACGTCTGCTGCACTATCATAAACTTGGACGTAATGACTCCTGATAGAAGCATTCACAGCACGGTGATCTGGAGCTAATGCATCACTGGGAACCTATTCATGGACTTAAATTCATTGGCAGTAATGATAAGCTAACATTGGAGAAAGCATGAGAATTAGTTTCTAGTTCAAACGTTTTTCAACATCTTGTATGAAGCTTGACTCTGTAGCAAATATCACCTTTTTGTCCATGAAAATAAAACACTTGTATTTGTAGTCAGCTGTGGTGGTAATCTGTGGCAGAATGGAGGTTTGTAGAGTAGGACACCTGGGGAGGTTGTCCACAGGAGGTATCACACACATGTGGACGCAGACAGTGACACTGTGCTGTGCATCCCAGGCAGTCAGAGAGTTCCCTTCAAAACACATGCATCCATGTTCTTCTGTGCTGAAAATAAATAAATAGATAAAACACTCAGTGGAAACAAGGGGAGTGTGCTGTCCATACAAAGTCAAAGAGAGAAAGAAAGCAGCCTGCTATCGATTGTAGCTGAAAGAGAAAAGACAGCGGTAGAGGTCAGAGTGTGCTCAATGACAGGGACAGGGCCTGTGAGCGGTATCAGATCATTTCCCAGATGAGATATTTGATCAAATTTAGGCTGCTGGGCCAAATCCTACGTCCACCTCTGATGATTCTATGAGCTGAGAGCTTCTGATACTGTTCTTTTCTGAGATGCTGAGTCTACTGTTTTCAGCTGGTCGGCTCAGGTGTCTCACCGGCCTTTTCTTGTCCAGACTAATAATGATGGGAAACTCTTGTTTAGCAGTCTATTTCTCTCATCACTCCTGCTGCAGTTCAAAGGCTCAGCCTTTAAATAGGATATCAAGCATGTCTTATGTCTAGACTCAACACTTAATCTGACAGGCTGCAAAATCTAACAGCACTTTGGAACAATGAAGCACACCCCTGTGACTATAACTAAATACTTACTAACACAAGCAGCAGTGCTTTGATACTAAGAGGTAGGGGTCTCCTTTAAAGCCCCATGGGGATACATGTCAGGTAAACAGTGCATCAAACAAACCTGGACCGAGGTCAAGAACTATAAGAGAGAGGGGTTCTGGAGGACAGCTAATGTTGGTCTGACAAAGCGCTGAAGAGGCAAATACTGAATCCGGAAAGAACTCTGTTTAAAAGTTAGTATGAGCTCCAACCTTAGTGGTTCTCTGCCAGTTTCTTCTCTTAGTTTTCCCCACAGTTGGCATGAGGTCTAAGTAATTCAGGTACCCTCACTGCAGGTTGCTGACCTGGCTGAATTCCTGCTAGAGGTTCTGGGGAAGTGAAAAAGAAACAATTTGGTCTCCTCTCACAGACCGGGCATTTTTGACCCTGCTACATGCTGCTCTGCTTCCAAATGACTTCCTGTAATGTTAATGGTGAGCTGCATGTATAAGTAAGAACAAACACATGTTTAACTCTGACTTTACTGATTTTAGGGATTTTCTCATGGCATGCCCTTGGTTAAAAATCCTGCAGCAGAAAATATGATGGAAGTTTCACTGCAAGCTCATGGAAGGAGGTATTGCATGTAGATTATTGCATCCATGCACAGTATACTGTTTGTGGGTTTACATGGCATTAAGTTATACAGTGGTGGGGTCTAGGTGATGGCACCTATGATTCATGATGGTTAGTTAGTCCAATGGCCACTTGAGGCTGGCTTCAGAGGCAGGCCATTCCACTGTCATGGTAACAGCTGAGATGTGCAACTCAGGGCTTAACCCTTTGATGCGCAACATGGGTCAAAAAAGACCCGGCTGAGTTTAAATTTTATATATCTTTTCAAAAAATTAATTCCATCAGTCGGTACTCAAGGAATTCCTCAATTAACTTGTTTTTGACGACCCTACATCCTTAGGTTAATTTTTTTTTTTTTTTTTTTAGAATAAAAACCGTTTTTGTATCACTACCCCTCTAATGCACAACATGGGTCTAAAATGACCCGTATCCATTTTCAATGTTATTTCATGTATGGCTGAGAGTTTCTATGGTATATCTTTGAAATAAATTAATTTTATCATTAGCTATTCCAAGTATGCAGTAAAAATCTTGTTTTAGTTGAGCACAAATAATCATTTTTATTTTTCCTTTCTTATGTTATGAGGAAGCACAGATTTTGTATTTCTACATCAAGTTTACATACATGGGTCAGAAATGACCCACATACAGTGACTGTAGCATTTAGCATGAAAAGACCGTCTAATACATGTAAGTATGGTTTTTCAATTGTTCTGACATTATCTTAGAAATTATTTGATGACAATTGTGAAATATAATTGTACATAGATTTGATTTGATTAGGTTTAGGTTACCTTGAGAGTGAGGACATAACATGTTGGAAAGTTACACAGTTACAGGTAAAACAGCTAGCTTTATTTCAGCTAGCTATAATCAGACGCATGTGTATGTGACAAAATGACAAATAAACATGTTGCTGATACAAAATACAAAAGTGTTTGGCCCATAGACTGTATATAGAATGGACAGCGTCTGCCTCCTTGCTGGGTGAAGCCGAGAACAGCACCCCCTGTTTACAGGCTGCAGTATAGGTCATAAATCCCGCCTCCGCCAGCAAACCTTATGGAGCTGTGGACAAACTTTAGAAATTTATACACAGAACATAAATTTTTCTCCCCCCTGCTTGTGATGTTGACATGTAGTTACAGTAAGACTGGTTTGTGCTCAAGTCCTCTTTTTTCTGTACAGCTCTGTTTTTAAAAGTTATTAGGGGGTTCATGTTTTCTATGATTGACACCTGCCATAGACTGTATATAAGATGGACAGAGTCTGCCTCCTCGCTGGGTGAAGCCACTCCGAGAACAGCACCCTCTGTTGATGGGCTGCAGTATAGGTCATAAATCCCGCCTCCGCCAGCAAAGATTATGGAGCAGTGGACAAACTTAAAAAATGTATTACACAGAACATACATTTTTATCCCTCCTGATTGTGATGTTGACATGTAGTTACTGTCAGACTGGTTTGTGCCCAAGTCCTCTTTTTTTCTGTGAAGCTCCATTTTTAAAAGTTATTAGGGGTTCATGTTTGCTATGATTGACACCTGATACAGCCTATGGGCGTTCAGGGATTGCGTAGCTCTCCCGGGGGATATGCTGTTTGAGCCGAGTGTCATCACAGCGACTCTCTTCAACTGTGCGGCCAAATGCGCGCATTGCTCCTGCGCAGCGCTGGTTTCAGGAAATGAAGAAAAATCCTGGAAATATTGAGAGCTATTTGGCTTCAAATCTGTATACAGGCAGTAGGCGGAACGAAGTTGTCCATAGTATATACAGTCTATGGATACAGCCTATGGGCGTTCAGGGATTGCGTAGCTCTCCCGGGGTGATATGCTGTTTGAGCCGAGCGTCATCACAGCGACTCTCAGCGCCTGCGCGGCCGAATGCACGCATCGCAACTGCGCAGCTCTGGTTTCAGAAATGTAGAAAAGTCCCGGAAATACCGAGAGCTTTTTGGCTCCAAATCCGTATACAGGCGGTAGGCAGAACCAAGTTGTCCATGGTATATACAGTCTATGGTTTGGCCCCACTCATTGCTAATTTCATTACTTGAAACAAATTATTATTATAGTGTTAGGTAATTCAGTATTAAATCACACTTGGATGAATGGGTCGTTTTTGACCCATGTGTGTAAACTTGATTTAATAATATAGAAACTATATTATTTCATAAAGTATGAAAATAAAAATAGAAATAATGATCAGTGGTGATCAAAAACAAGATATTTAAAGAATACTTGTAATATTCAATCAGAAAATAAACTTATTTCAAAAGATAGAACAAAGAAAAACTCAGCCAGCATGAAATACCATTGGAAATGAATGCGGGTCTTTTTAGACCCATGTTGCACATTAGAGGGGGTGTGGATATGTTGTGCATCAAAGGGTTAAAAAAGGCTGTGAGCAAACCAACCAGTGACCATGGAGTGTCTCTCCATCATTCATAGTCTGTGGTGCAAACTACGGCCGCAGCCCACGGTGATATCTGCTTATTTTTCCTTCACATTATTTCTTTATAGCTGAGAAGATGCATGTCGGCTTAGACACACACACATGCACACACACACACACACACAGGTGGACACACACACACACACACACACATTGGGGCTTTTCCAATTTCAAGCTAATTATACATCAGTTACTTTTGCTTAGCCTCAGGTGTTTGACATGTGGCTGATGCACATTAAAATATGCATGCATGTGAGTGTTAAGGGTGTATTTGTAATGTCAGGACTGAAACTGAACCTTGAGCCAATTACAGGCTGCTATGTCAGCAGCAGCAGCAGCAGAGCTTCCAGCCCTGCTGGCCAGTGTGGGGTAATCAGCACACTTCACTTCACAGACATGATTTGCCTCCATGTCACAGCTAAATGCACAAATTAGGACTGGTGTTTTCAAATAAGGCATTTAATATGAAGCTTGAACTAACTGATGGCACACTACTAGTAGTTCCTCTAATCAAGTGTGGTGCTGCTGAAGGTGTAAAAGGGCTGTGGCGAAGAAGAGGAAAAAAAAAAGTTCAGGTCACCAGAGGTTTGGGTATCACAAAAAAGTTATAATAAGAAATGATAGTTTTAGTGTGCCAAAAGAGGAGGAAGAGTTTGACTTAAAAGGTCAAAATACAATTTCAAGAAGAAAACTTGACAGTTGTTGAGTGATTGTCAAACTTCTGTCTTGGTTGAAACACTTTTTCACTCTCACAGCAAAAACGAGTTTTCTCCTGATTTTTGTGCGGGTCTACCTGTCAATAAGAAGTCAAGATATCATTGAAACATACAGAAAGCATGTAGAAATGTAACACGTCATCAGCTCAGTCCGTGCTCCTGCTCTGTTAAGAATTTAACTCACACATGATCCTAGTTTAGATAATCCTATATGAGTCAATAGAGATAGTGCTGCTCACTAAGATGTAGCAGCTCCTCTCAGGCATTGAATCCCATCAGCAGTTGAAGAAAAACTGAGCAACGACACCTTAAAGGATGGAGTCTGCAATATCATTGGTCGTTTGTAATGTTAATAAACATTATAATTTAGCTCTGCCCTCTGGGCTTGGCGGCAGTTCTCAGGACATGCCCACCCAGCTTGTGTGGCATCACATTGCAATGCGATGTAGCCATGTACCTGATCTCTTAGAGGAAACGGTGATGAGGTTTGTTGCAAATATTTAATCAAATGTGCCTGGGCAGGTAGTCCTGTCTTCTGACGGGGACTACCCAGAGTTCATGGTTCATGGGTAAACAGAGCAGAGGGCAGGTGGGGGCACACTGTGGAGGACAAGCAGGTGAAGCCGAGCGAGGCCTGGTCAAACCCAGGACCACGTGGAAAGTTTTCACGAAGCAGAAAGTTACAAAGTACAGAAACTTCTGTACCCAGAGCAAAGTCAAATTCATGCAATATAAATAGTTTTATTTGTGCTGTATTTTAATATCATGTAATGTGTTTTCTGTTTTACATTTGATTATTCTATTTGGTGCTTTCTGTATTAATACTTAGATATGGGCATTGTGATTTTAATTTGTCTAATAAAATAACTGCTTTAAATTTGAAGCACATGTTCTTATATCAACTTGATTCAAAGTAAATCTGCTGTACAAACACAAGAAAATAAATCAATCTATAGAAAACATTTTTATTTCAATCACTGGTCATTTACAAACATCTAAAATTCCACAGGTATGTTACTGCAGATGTAATGACTGTAATTTGCCTAAAAAGGAGTAAACTGCACAGTACGGAAGCACATTGCATTCACTCACTAGTTACAAGATCAAGATCTCGTAACTACAAGCAAAGATCTCCACCAGAAGTTAAAGCTGCCTGAGAATCTGACTTCTGTTGGAAAAAAATAGAAAAGCTGACACTGTCTTTGGTACCTATCTGTCTGATGGTAAGCAGGTCAGCTCAGTTTAACTCTTCATTCTGAGCCACTTCTTCAGTGCCTGAGAGTGAGTGAGAGCTAACCTGAGGTTCACCCTTGAATAGGAAGACACTTTACTGGCTCGGTGTTTCAGCTCATCGGCCACTGTCCAAGATTGTTGTTGTGTGGATGAGGTTGTATTTGTTCACTCACACTCACACTCACTGACATTGGTTGGGGTATCAACGCCCACTCCTCTGCCCAGAAATGTCCAAAACATCAAAATACAGGGTATGAGTACAGAGTGACACCCACCCTCCTATGGAGGCCCACAAGTGATGATTGAGCAGCATCAACTGTGAAAAATTACAAGTTTTATGTTTGGAGAAAATCCTGCAGAGTCCACCTTTAAAGCTGCTGTGAGGAGTCTTTTTTCTGTTTATAAAATAAACTGAAGTTCAAGATGGTGTGTACAGGGTAACATCAGGTTATTTTTGGAGTAGCTGACAGCAAACAGACAGGCTGTGTGTTTATTTAATGGGATAACTAAAAAAATAAGGAGATCTGCTTTTTTTCTTTTTAAAGAAATAAATCAAATGTTCATGCATCCAGCAAAGGGGCACAATGTTAGAGATGAGTTAAGGAATGAATTTGAGTCATGTGATGGTATGAGTTAATTTTAGAGAAACCCAGACATCCTCTTTATTACAGGAGTGAACAGAAAGGCACATCAATGAAACCAGACCATTCCTAGAACCAGATACCATAGATGGATCTGGTCTATGTAAGCTATCTTGAAGGTGTAAGGTAAGCGTGAAGGCTTACAGACACACCAGGATCACTGTTCAGCACCCAGTCTTCTTCAATTTTCCAAGTGAGGGAGCAGAGATCTGCTCCCAGACTGAGGAATGTGACATGATATGCCTCCTCTGCCAAGGAACCAAGCCTTATGGGCTCTCTGAGAGACACCAACATGAGGTCTGTGAGATGGCCCCAGAGTCAAGAAGACATGCTGCTTGAACCCGCGCCAAGTGCTGCCTCCATGTGTTTGGCCAGGTGACTTGGAAGTGTCTCAGTGTACAGCTGAGGGAGCTTTTTACTGGCCCTCACACTGTCCAAATCCCACCCTGGGAAAGAAGCACACTATTAAGGTGGATGCCAAACATGGTGTTTTCCAGCTGCTTTCATAGTCATCAGAGTCTCCTGGCTCTCCTTTGGAGCACTCCTGAAGAAAACAGGGTAGAGATAAAATAACAATCCAGTATGACCCGATTCCAGTATGAGTGTGGCGAAAATGCCTGATTAGATTGTGGGCAAGTGTGTAAACTCATGAATGTAAATGAAGCATTAAGTGATGGGCACTCCTGCTAGCCACCAATCAGCACAAATCTCTGCGAATGAATAGCCAATGACCACCATATAGGGAGGATATAAGGTGGACATGTGCCTCCTGTGGACCGTGGGAGAAAGAAGAGAGATGAGGAGAGATAAAAATTTGGACCTAATATGGTAACCTCATTTGCTGTGGATGGGTTAGATGGTGCAGGTGTAGGCTACTGAAAAAAAACAACGGAATAATCTCCTTTGAGTTTTTATTTACTGTCTTAATTGGTTTTCAATAAAACTCTGGCTCTGATTTCACCTTAATGGCATATAGTGGAAACACAACAAAGTGAAGTGATAGTAAACATGAGTGAGGGAGAGAGACTACAGCAGCTTTAACTCCAGAGATGAGCTTCTGTTCAAGAAATCTAATGTCCAGGTGAACAACACTGTCGTGGTTAAAAAAAAAAATGTTTTAGGTTGGCATCAGTCGATGTGAGGACATTAGTGTAGTGTAACCCTGGCCTGTAATAAGTCAATCACAACATTAAGACTGTTTGCAGACATGACAACTCAGGGTCAGAGGTGGGAGATACATGCTTTGATCAACACGTCTCACACCCAATAGAGATGCATGTTGAAAGGTGATGTAATAAAATGTCTTCCCACTAGTCATTTGGATAACCAAAGCGACAGGTTGTTAGGGAAGGTTATGGACAATACATGTATTGAAAAAAAGTCCAGATCGCCATAAGTGGAGATACGTGTTTTTAATCGGACAGTGACAAAATGCTGTGCTCTCTAGAGTTTGTCTTTCAAAGCTGAACTTGAGTTTTCCTGCATAATCTGACTTTTCTGGGCCTGCATCCAGTTAAAACAAGAGGCTCCAAATCCTCGGCTGTATCACCACCATCATCCAGTAAGAGCTGCAGCTTTTCAAGTACTACATGGTCATTCTC